CGCCGACCCTCTGTAGCCGCTCTGCGGCTTTCTCCCCGCCCACCCCCTCCTCCTTCGTCTCCCTGCAGCCGTGGGGGGGAGGGTATGGGGGTGGCGGGTGTGGGGGTGATGGGTGGTGTGCTTCCCTTCCCCTCCTCCTCCTTTCGTTCCCACTGCTGCAGCTGCCGCTGGGGGGGAGGGTGTGAGGGTGTGGGGGAGCCGGGGGAGTGGCACTGGGGTGGCGGGTGTGAGACCAACCAACAGCCGTCCCTCCACCTCTCCTCTCTTCCCCCCTCTGCTGCTCCTGCAGCAGTGTGGGGGGGAGGGGGAGGGGGAGGGTGAGGGGATGGAGGGGGTGACCAGCCAGAGCCAGCCCGCCTCCTTTCTCTCCCTGCTGCCCCTCCTGTGGTCGGGGGGGGAAGAGAGTAAGGGGGTGGCAGGAATGTCTTGCTGTCGCCTGTCCCTTTGCTGCTGTACCTGCTCTGTTACCGTGCCTGCTGTTGCTGTTGCTGGTGTACCCCTGCAGGTTGTGTTCTGCACAAACTCCTGCTGCAGGCAGTTATGGGGGAGTGTTAGAATATATATGTAACTGCCTGTAGCTGTAGTTTAGTGTAGTTATTATAAACTGTTGGTGGTGCACCTTCTTTGCATCCTCTGTTTGCTATATGTACCCTAGTGCTATAGTGAACACCATTCCCATTCTCGACTTCCTCTCTTGGCACAACTTTCTCGACTCCCCCTTGGCCTAGGCTACCAAGCCTAGGCCCTAAACCTAACTTCTACTTATGCCACTATTCTCAACAGTTAAGGCTCCCAATTGCCCACAGGTGAAGCCTACACAGCTGCAAAGGCTTAGGGGAAGGTTCTAGGCCAAGACGCAGCTGAATCGGCCTCGGATAAATCCTTCTAACCCAACTCAGTTGAAAACTGATATGGAGTCAACAGCTTCGAGCGCAGGACCGAGGGATGATCTATTCGACGTACCCTACGATCCTATAAGCGAGACCATCTACGGTTACTCGGAGCAGCAACAACCACTACTACTCGAGGTGATCTGCAACGGGCAACGCCTCCAGGCACTGGTGGACAGCGGTGCGTCTCACTCGGTGTGCGACCACGGGACGTTGGAGAAAATTGGAGAATCTTTGGAGGAGACCAAGTTCACGGCAACGATAGTGGACGGTACGAAACTTCCCATCCACGGCGAAGCATCACTGCAGCTGCACATAGGGGCGCTGAGGTGGAAGCCGACGTTGCCGATCACGAACATCAAAGGTTTAGATTTCATCTTGGGGCGAGATTTCCTGAAGCGGTTCAACCCCGAGAAAGACTGGGTCAACAGGAAGGTGTGCATCTACAACAACGGGAAACGAGTGGAGCTGCGAAGCTGGACGGATACAGGGAGCGTTCCTGAAACGACACTGGCACGATTCGAACGGACGGTGAACGAGAGCAACACATGTTACTTAGCACTGGTTATGGCAGCAGCAGAGGAGGAGAAGTCGAGTTCGGAGCTACCTGCAGCAGTGAAGGAGGTCTTGGAGCAGTACAAGAATATAATGCCCGACGACCTACCCACAGGCGTACCTCCAGCACGCACCCACGAGCACGAAATCGTGGAGGAACCAGGTGCGAAACCCGTCTCACGTGCACCATACCGACTGAGTCCGACCGAACTGACAGACATGAAGAAATAGATAGAGTATCTACTGGACAGACAACAGATCCGCCCATCCACCTCTCCCTACGGTGCACCAGTCCTCTTCACTCCAAAACCATACGGCAGTTTACGGATGTGCAGCGACTACCGCGCACTGAACAAACAGACAGTTAAAAACAAATACCCCATACTGTGCATAGACGACCTATTGGACCAACTGCGTGGTGCAACAGTCTTTTCGAAGCTGGACCTACGGTCGGGTTACTGGCAGATCAAGATGGCAGACAACTCGGTCCACAAGACGGCGTTCTGTACCAGATACGGCTCCTACGAATACTTAGTGATGTCGTTCGGACTCTGCAACGCACCAGCAAGGTTTCAAGCGGAGATGAATCACATCTTACAACCCCTGCTAGACGAGTGCGTAGTGGTGTACCTGGATGACATTCTTATCTACTCCAAGAACATGAAGGAGCACGTGGAGCATCTACGGAAAGTGTTCGAGATCCTGCGGAAAAACAAGTTATACATGAAGCTATCGAAGAGCGACTTCGCCCTGAAGAAGGTGGAGTTTCTCGGGCACATGGTGAGTGCCGAGGGCGTACACGTGGACCCGCGGAAGATCGAAGCCGTCAAGAAGTGGAAAGTACCGGAGAACGTGAAGGAGTTGCAGCAGTTCGTAGGCTTCGCCAACTACTACAACAGGTTCGTGCCGCAGTATGCTAAGATAGCAGCGCCACTGACCGACCTACTGAAAAAGGATACGCCCTACAAATGGGATACACCTCATCAGCAAGGCATGGAGCAGCTACAGACAGCACTGACTACAGCGCCAGTACTCATCCTACCAGATCCATGCAAGGACTACGTGGTGGAAGCAGACGCTAGTGACCAGGCAGTCGGAGTAGTACTGATGCAGGATCATGGACGCGGTTTGCAGCCCATCGCCTACCTCAGTAAGAAGCTACACGGAGCAGAACTGAACTACCCCATCCATGACAAGGAAGCCTTAGCGATAGTCATAGCCTTCAAGGCGTGGAGGTGTTACGTAGAGGGAGCCAAGACTACAGTCTATACTGACCACTGCGGTCTCAAATACCTGAAGTCGCAGTCGACGCTCTCACGGCGACAGGTGCGGTGGGTGGACTTCCTGGAAACTCGCTTCCACTACAACATCGTCTACAAGCCCGGGCTACACAACAAAGCAGACGCGTTGAGCAGACGGTCATGTAGCAGGCATCCAGCTCGACGGGATGAACCCTTTGCTCAAGGGTTTATTCCAACATGGGTACTCCGTGGACGCAGAGATCGCTACAGCACAGACTAAGAAGCTGTTACAGTGGGAGAAAGACTTAGTGGTAAGGAAGGGTTCAGGAAAGATTTGGGTACCGAATTACGCCCCGCTACGGCATATCCTATTGGAGGAGTTTCACGACGTACCTTACGCTGGACATTTCGGGAGCAACAAGACGTTAGCGGGAATAGCAAAGTATTATTACTGGCCCGGGATGGCAGCAGACGTGCAGCAGTTCGTCACCTCTTGCGACACGTGCCAGCGGATGAAGAGCAGCAAGCAGAAAAAAGCAGGGTTACTTCAGCCTCTTCCCGTACCGGAGCAGCCATGGCAAGTCGTTAGCTTCGACTTCATCACGGGACTTCCTTCGACTTCACGAGGGCATGACGCTATACTCGTGGTAATCGACAAGTTCTCTAAAATGGGTCACTTCATTCCGACCAACGCCACGGCTACAGCTGAAGCAACTGCTCGCCTCTTCTTCGATCGCATCATCACCATCCACGGCATCCCCGCTACAGTCATCTCAGACAGAGACCCCAAATTCACGAGTAAGTTCTGGAAGGAGCTCATGGGATTATTGGGGACCAAACTTGCGATGTCCTCAGCATACCACCCACAGACTGACGGACAGATAGAGCGACTCAATCAAGTGGTTGAACAGTTACTGCGCACAGCTTGCAAAGACAACGTCAGCCACTGGGACACACAGTTACCAACCCTAGAGTTCGCTTACAACAACGCGTCAAATGCGGCCATAGGGAAAACTCCTTTCTTCCTATGTTACGGACGGGAACCACTCACACCACAGCAGCCAACCACACCGGCACACGTCCAGGCCGCACATGACTTCGTCACCACCATGCAGCAGCTATGGGAGAAGACTCAGCGACGTCTCACCACGATGCAGACCTCCCAGAAGCAGTATGCCGATCGTCAGCGACGTGATCACTCAGTAGCAGTCGGAGATCAGGTGCTTCTTGACACGTGCAACTTGAACCTGTCTCACCTACCATCCAAACTCCGGCCTTGCTTCTGTGGTCCATTTCTCGTGGAGGCACAGGTGACACCAGTTACATTCCACTTGCGCTTACCAGATACGTGGAAGCCTCACAACGATTTCCATGTCCAGCTACTGAAGCCCTACAAGGACCCCAACCAACAGTTCCAGGGACGGCAGCTACCGCCACCACCACCTATTCTCATACAGGATGAACCCGAGTACGAAGTGGAGCGCGTTCTCACTCATCGACGCCGCGGCGGCAAGACCCTCGAGTTCCTGATACGCTGGAAGGGATACGACCCCACTGAGAACAGTTGGGTTGCAGAAGCTGATATGGGCAACGCACGCCGTGCTCTCAAGGACTGTCTTGTCAAGAAGGGTGTTTCTCATGCCACCCAGCTTTGAGGGGGGGACGTGTGAGAGTACGACGGCTTATGCTGGCTTTGCTAGCTTGCCTAGACTTTATTATGCTATTACTAGCTTGGGTTTTATTTCCTAGGTTAGGTGCATTCCTATATTTTATTATAGTTATAGCATCGAACCAGGTTACGCGTACTGAACTCAAGCCTATTCGGTTTCCACCGAATTGCTTTCTACCGAGTTCGAGAAGGTTCTGTTCGGGACGCTTCGCGACCCTCAGAACATTCGCGCAACACCTGGGTTACCTGCCTTGTGTCGAGCCTATATATAGCCTCGTGTTGTACCCAGGTGATTCATTCAATTACAATTCTCTTTTCAGAGCTCGATCCTAGATCCTCACACGAAGCCTACACAACTGCAAAGGCCTAGGGGAAGGTTCCAAGCTTGGCAGTTGAATGGGTGATGTGGAGGGGTAGGATCGCGAGGGATACAATGAGTGGCCCACGCGTGTCTTGAGATCGGTGATGCAACAGTATACCGACTCCGATTGGCTGACGAGATTGCGGACCTGCGCACGCACTTTGGCGATTGGGACGTTACATCCTGTGTGCATACGTGCTCTCGAGTGGGCTTGCAGCCGGAATGCGCATACTTTCACTACATGGTGTGCGGTAGCAGAAGTTGTTTAGGTTTGACTTTCGGAAATGGAGACTTCTTTGGGGACGTCGGAGGAATTTCCCGCAGGTCGGTCGCGTAGGCCCAAACGACCGCCTGAGTATCTGCGAAAGGAGTATCAGTTGACCGGTAAACGAACACGTGAAGTCAAATGTGTGCGGGGCAACGCGGGGCAGTACAAGCGTCCGAGGGTTGGAAAGCAGAAGTGTGTCCCAGTAGAAGGTACAACGCGTAGGGATTCAGTTGCGTCTCGTTGCTTTTGCCGCACTGCTTACGGCGCATGTTCACCATTACGGAGTTTCCATGTTCTCTGGTCTGACTCGCATGTGTTGCTTGAACCTTGCGCTCAGGTGTGGCTAGTGCGGCCCATGGTGCATCGCAAGTCTCGCCGAATGCGGCGGTCGCGTCTAGCGTCGGTGCGGGCGATGAGGATGTGGGTAACGATGGCGAAGGGGAGGTTGCGCCTGTCCGATCCAAGGCTGTTGCTTCCTTTATGGCCGAAGAGCCTAGCGCGGCAAAAGGAAAGGCTGCGGCGGCTCCGCCTAAACCAGTGCCTGACAACCCTTTTGCGGCGATGCCGTGCGGATCTGCGCAGCCGGCAAGTGGATCTCGTCGGGATGAGACGGTTGCCGATGACGCCGTCGTGATTAGCCGCGCCGAGCTCGAGGCGCTGAAGACGGCGAGAGACGACGGCGAGCGTCGGATTGCGCGGCTGGAGGCGCTGCTGTTGGCCAGAGACGATCCGAAAACGCAGAACAAGAGGCCGAGGGGTCCGAGGGAGGAACGGGCGCACGGAGATGCGCGGCCGCGCAAGCGCAGGCGGGGCGAATCGGGCTCGGAGGACGCGACATCGGAGGAGGGAGAGGAAGATGATGCAGAAGCGGAGCCAGTGAGGGCACGCCGTGTGGTCCGGCGGCGCCACATGACAGTGTCGAGCTTACCCATACTTCAGGAGGCATTTGATTTCCTGCCGTCCGGAAAAGCATGGAAGGTGTGCGCCCAAGGACATGGTGACACATACTAAAAAATATGCATCGCGGGTGGTCTAATGTCTGCCGCGCTGCTGTTTGTGCGTTCTTGAACTATGGGTAACCTTGGTGTGTTGTATGCCGTGGACATGGCAGAGAACGTGCGACCATGTGTGGGAGTTCCTGTTCATCGAGCGGGCCAATGATGTCATGACCTTTTACCCAAGCAGCCATGACAAGACGCTCGGATTATGCTGGGTCACACCACGATTGACGATGAATTATGCGGGGCTCGCACTGGCGGCCGACAAGGCGCGATGCGCTGACCTGAACAAGGCACTCAGCTAGTGGAAGACAGAGGTGACGGGCTGCGTTCGAGACATTGCGCTGCCGCGCATTGGCCTATGGCGCAACGAGCGAGACAGGAAAAGCCCGTGTGCACGCAAGAAGCGCAGAGAGGCGGCAGATGTTCGGCTTCGGTATCGCGTGCTGGACGACGTGAACGGTACGCGGCGGGGTGTCACCATCCAGGTTTCCTGTGTGTAGCTCAGCTGACGGCGTGTTACGTTGTACATGTGTGTGGGCAGAAGATCTGACGTTGTCAACCTGGAGCGAGAGCAAGACTGGAATGATCTTTGCGTCGGGAGCGTTCACAGCGTGTGCCGTGACCGCCTTCCAGCCCAAGAAGGTCACGGGAGCGGTGATTGTGAAACTGTACCAGATGGCGTGGCTCGAGCATGTAGTGAGTTGCATCTCAATCCCCGTTCAGCCCACCCATGCGCGGGAGTGATGTATGTGTGTGTGATATGTTTGTTGTTTCACGCAGGTTACGGACACGGTTCTTAACTGGGACAAGCGCAAGGCCCGCCTATCAAACTCTGCTGGTGGCAACGCGGAGGTGGTGAACGGCCTCCACCAGGTCGCCGAAGGGGCAGTGGCGCAGGCGATCCAAGACTTCAAGCCCAAGTACGATGCTGATGCACAGGCGTGGGTCTGGGGGGAGCACGGGCTGATGCTGTCCTCGTGCGGGCTAGAGCACTTGATTCCAGGCCGTTACGCGCAGAGGGCGCCAATTGTGGAGGAAGGTGGTTCGGTTTCTCTGGGCACTGACTGAAGTTGGTCTAGGGTTTAGTGAGGCGTCCCTACATGTACAAGGACATGGGCTGCCGTTACCTGTTCCACTCTTTGTGTTTCATGCATGTTAGAAGGACATTGTTTGTGGGGTTAGCGTTCGACGAGGTGGGGATGTAGTAAGAAGGCGTTTGGCGGTAGTGTGTGGACATAATTGGCGACGGTGTCAGACATATATGATATAGCCTATGTAGGCTGTAGTGGGGTAGACAATAGGGGGTACAGTCATTCTAGGGTTTCATACTTGTACCTTTCACATTCCTAGTGAATTCATTCCTCATTCTTCACATGGTATAGAGCACGTTCCCTAGTGGGAACGTTTTCTAGGGCCCACCACTATTACGATTTTTTTTTTTTTCCTTACCTGCCCGGAGCGCGCTTCGCGCCTGCCCTAGTCGCGCCCCGTGCGACTGCCCTCCCGTCGCGTCCCCTGCCCATAGCGGCCCGTCGCGCCCCTTAAGGCCCCTTCGCGGCCCCTTCTCGGCCCTTCGCGGCCCCTCTTTCAGCCCTTCGCGGCCCCTTCGCGGCCCTTCGTGGCCCCCCTCACGGCCCTTCGCGGCCCCTTCGCGGCCCCTTGCGGCCCCTTCGCGGCCCTTCGCGGCCCCTTCGCGGCCCCTCCGCGGCCCCTTCGCGGCCCCTCCGCGACCCTTCGCGGCCCTTCGAGGCCCCTTCACGGCCCCTCCGCGGCCCCTTCGCGGCTCTTCGCGGCCCCTTCGCGGCCCCTCCATGACTCTTCGCGGCCGTGCCGCCCCGTCGTCGCCGCCCCAGCAGCAGCTGCCGTCGCGCCTGCTGCCGTTGCCGGTTCCGCCACGGCCGTTCGCCGCCACCGCTGCTGCCGTGACAGCCGCCGCCGCTGCTGCTAAGACAACCGCCGCTGCCACTGTCGTGACAGCCGCCGCCGCCATCCCGGCCCTACCCTGCGGCCGAGTCGCGGCCCTCCTCTGCCGCCCTGTCGCGGCCCTGTTCCCTCCGGTGCACCTCGGCCCTGCCCCACCACTTGCGGGCTTCTACCCACCCGCCCCTGGTAAGCGCACCGCCGAGCCGCGCCCCTCCTGCTGCTGCTACTGCTAACCTGCTTCTGCTGCTGCTGCTGCTGCTAGCCTGCTGCTGCTGCTGTCATGGCTACCCCCAATGTGCTCACCTTTGATGCTTAGGGTCGGGCTGTAGACTTTGAGGTCTGGGTCGATGATCTACAGCTTTTCCTGCAGTGCGATAGAAAAGACGGTCTCTCACTATTCGATCTCACGTCTGGCGCCTCTGCTGCCCCTACTGCCAATGCTCACAGTACTGTTCGCTCACAGTGGGCCACACGCGATGCTGCTGCCCGTCTTGCTGTGCGTAGTCACCTGCCGTCCACTGAGCGCGCGCACTTTAGTCAGTACAAGAGTGCTAAGACCTTGTACGACGCTGTAGTTGCACGCTACTCTTCCCCTGCCACTGCTGCCCTTAGTCGCCTCATGCTGCCGTACATGTTCCCTGACCTCGCCGCCTTTCCCACTGTCGTTGACCTCATTGCGCACCTTCGCACTAGTGACACCCGCTACCGCGCTGCGCTTCCTACTGAGTTCTGCGCCAAGAACCCCCCCCCCCATGTACATCACCCTCTACTACCTAGTCACCCGGCTCCCTGACTCCCTTCGCTCGGTCAGGGACCACTTCCTCTCTGTTTGCCCCACCACACTCACTGTTGACCTCCTCGAGGAGCGCCTCCTTGCAGCTGAGAAGAGTATAGTCGCTGTAGGAGCCTCTCGTGGTGACCCTCGTACCCCCTTCTTTGAAGGGGTGCTCCCCCGTGCCCCTTTTGCCCTCTGTTGCCTCTGTTGCTGCTGTCGACCTTGTTGGCACCGAGTCGGTCGGCGCTGCGTCTGCCCCTAGCGGGAGACGCCGCAACGGCAAGGGCAAGGGGGGCAAGGCCGCTGGAGGAGCTGGCGGGGGCGGTGGTGGTGGCGGTGGAGGCGGCGGAGGGGGTGGGGGTGGCGGTGGGAGCGGGGGCGGGGGTGGGGGCTTAGGTGGCGGCGGTGGAGGCGGAGGCGGAGGCGGCGGTGGCGGTGGGAGCGGAGGAGGTGGCGGTGGCGGTGGGAGCGGAGGAGGCGGCGGTGGCGGCGGTGGCGGCAGCGGCGGTGGAGCTGGTCGGGGTGGCTCTGTGCAGCGGGGAGGCTTCGGTGGTGGTCAGCGCCAGCAGCAGCAGCGCGCTCGTGAGACCCCGCCCCCCCAGCAGCTTCATGAGTGGTACGCTGCGCGTCAGCGGGGTGGGGGTGCTGGTCCCTGTGCCTACGTCCTGCGTACCGGCGACCGCACTGGTGAGCCGTGCGGCGGCCCGCACGCCACCCAGCGCTGCTTCGGCCGCCTGACGGACGCCTGGCGTCTCCAGATCCCTGACGCCACTGAGATCCCTCGCTGGGGCGAGCTGCTTAGGTCGGAGGTTGCTATCTTTGATCTTGATTATGATGCTATTCTTGCTGCCATGTATGTTGTGTCTACTAGTGACGAGTGAAACTGTTACTTGTGTGTGCCGCCTGACCCTGGCATTGCGGCTGCTGCTCTAGGTGCTAGTGAGTCTGCTGCTCCAGGTGCTGGTGAGTCTGCTCTCTTAGGTACCACGTCGGCTCAGGTTTTGCGCACCTTCACTCTTGACTCGGGTGCTTCCCGCTCCTTCTTTCGAGACCGCACCACACTCACGCCGCTTAGTCATGGCAGACCCATCTGGGGGTCCTGTCCTTCTTTCGAGACTCGGTTGCAGTCTCCCTGGCAGACCCCTCTAGGGGTCCTGTCCTTGCCCACTTTTCCACTGTCCTGCCGTGTCCGGCGGCCCCCTCTGGCACCCTGTCAGGTCTCTACCTCCCCTCGTTCTCTACGAACTTGGTGAGTGCTGCTGACCTACAGGATGGGGGGGTTGACCAGTTCACTCCTGCGAGTCAGCGAGTGACCCACTGCACGTGTGCTCGGACGGGCCGACACTTGGCCACGTTTACCCGTCAGCCGGGGTCGAGCCTGTACACACTGACTACTGCGTCTCCTCCGGTTGCTGCGCCTGGTCAGGTAGCTGCGTCGGGTCAGGTGTTTGCTGCAGCGTCCAGGTCTGGTCCTGAGTCTGCCCCCTGCTCGTGTCGTCTCCTGTCTCACCAGACTCTCCTCTGCAGTCTTCCCCTTGCGCAGCAAGGGTGAGGTCACTGAGGTGTTGATCGACTGGATCCGCGCTGCTCGTCTCCAGCTCAGAGACAGTTTCGGCTTGGACTTTCCTGTTCTGCGTCTGCACTCCGACAGAGGCGGAGTGTTTTCCTCTGACCTTCTGCGAGCCTTCTGTCGTGCGGTGGGCATCCGCCAGACGTTCACGCTTCCGGCCTCTCCACAGCAAAATGGGATTGCTGAGCGCCGCATTGGCATGGTCATGGACGTCGCTCGTACGTCTATGATCTATGCGGCTGCTCCCCATTTTCACGGTTACAGCCCGCCTCCCCACTACCTGCTCCTTCTCCCTACACTGGTCCTACTGGAGGTCTTGCTGAGCGTCGTGAGCCTGCGTCTCGTCCTGTGTCGCCTGTTTGTGCTGCTCGCACTGGTCGTCGTGTTCCACGTCAACGTCCTCATGCGGTCCCGGGCACGCACCAGATGGCACTACGTCCTTCCACTGCTCCACTGCGTGTCCCTTTGCCGTCTCCTCCAGAGTCCTCTCTTCCTGCTCTTGCTGACCCGGAGTCTGACTCCCTTCGTGCTGCCAATCCTACTGTCACGCGTCTCCTGGCTACTGTTGTCACTGACCCTTCCTTTGAGTCCACTGGTGCGTCTGCCTTAGTTGCTGAGCTTGTCGACTTTGCTGCTCGCTGTCGTCTAGTCTACGCCGCTAGTCTTGTTGCTGAGTCTGAGTCTGTCCGTCCTCCGTCCGTCGGGGGTGAGTGTGCTCTTAGCACGGACGTCCTTGAGGACAGGCAGGAGGAGTTTAAGTGTTTTGCTGCTGCTTTACCTCATCTCGTGTCCATGCTGATTGCCCCTGAGGGAGACCCGGATGCACCAGACATCCTGACTCCGCGCTCTTACGCAGAGGCGATAGAGGGTCCCTACTCTTCTTAGTGGCAGTCAGCCATGGACGCAGAGATGGCTTCCTGGAAGTCCACAGGCACCTACGTTGTCGAGGTTCCCCCACCTGGGGCGAACATCGTCAGTGGCATGTGGATCTTCAGGGTGAAGCGGCCGCCGGGTTCTCCGCCTGTCTTCAAGGCACGTTACGTGGCTCGAGGCTTCAGTCAGCGGCAGGGAGTTGACTACTTTCAGACCTTCTCTCCCACCCCGAAGATGACCACTCTTCGGGTGCTGCTGCACATAGCCGCTCAGCGCGACTACGAGCTTCACTCTCTTGACTTCAGCACTGCTTTCCTACAGGGCAGCCTGCACGAGGAGATCTGGCTGCGCCGCCCACCTGGCTTCACTGGGTCGTTTCCTCCTGGTACCCAGTGCAGCCTCCGGCGGCCAGTCTACGGTCTCCGCCAGGCGCCCCGTAAGTGGCACGACACACTGAGGACTACACTTGCGGCTCTTGCGATTGCTCCTTCTACTGCCGACCCGTCGTTGTTTCTACGCACCGACACTTCCTTGCCGCCGTTCTACATCCTCGTGTACATCGACGACTTGGTCTTTGCTACTGCTGACACTGCTGGACTCGCCCACGTGAAGTCCGAGCTGCAGAAGAGACACACGTGCACAGACCTGGGTGAACTGCGCAGCTACCTTGGCTTGCAGATCACCCGGGACAGAGCACGGCGCACCATTACCCTGACTCAGTCACACATGGTGCAGCAGGTCCTTCAGCGCTTCGACTTCACGTACTCCTCGCCTCAGGCCACTCCTCTGTCTACTCGCCACTCGCTCTCAGCTCTGCCTTCGGATGAGTCCGTAGAGCCGAGTGGCCCGTACCCAGAGCTTGTTGGCTGCCTCATGTACCTGATGACCTGCACTCGACCTGACCTTGCATACCCTCTTAGCATCTTG